TTCGTTATCCTTCCTCCATGGTTATTGTTCCTTATTTTCGCCATACCCTGCGCATTCTCCCCATCCTCCTCAGCTCTTTTTTGCGGAGGCTCCTCCTTGGAGAGCCTCTAGGGGCCTCACAAAAGTTGTTTCGGGCTTTCTTAAGGCCTTCTGGAGGCCTCCTGGGCGTATTCTGGGGGCCTCCGGGGGTTTCCTCGGGCCACCCTGCCTCCAACCGCCGTCTCCCTGAACGACCGAGTCACGATTTGGAATTCTTCGAAGGGTGTCTTTGGGACATCTTGGGCCGCCATGGGGCTCTCTGAGGGCCATCTTGGACCCGTGTTGTGCCGTTTTGGGGCTTTCTTGGACTGCCTGGAAGCCCTTTCGGATGGTTGTGGGGCGATTTGGGAACCTCCTAGGCGGCTTCGGACGCCCAGAAGACCGCCGTCTTGGAGCGTCGGGAAGCCGAAAAGAGGAGAACCCCACAATTCACCAAACACCAACAGAACATCCATGATTTTTGCCTCGGGGGGCCTTCTTGGGAGTGCTCTTGGAGGCCTCTTTGGGGCCGTCCTGGAGGCCTCTTGGGCCATCTTGAGGTCACGTCGGTCACTCTTGGAGCGCTCTTATGCTGTCTTGGGGGTCTCGGGGACGTCTCCGATGACCCCCTGATCGCCCTAAGTGTGCTGGGAAGGCTTGGCAAAACGCCTTGCGAGGCCCAGTGGCCGCTTCAAAGCCCGTCCGGAGGGCCCCAAAGCCCCAGGTCCCGGGAGTCCGGTTTTGGGGGGTGGGGGTCCCCCCGCCCGGGCTTATAGAAATATAGGAAGAGGAACCCACACATATATATATATATATATATATATATTTATATTTATATATATATATATGTATATATATACATATACACATACATATCATATGCGCGCTCCCGAAGCCACGCTCCTGGGACGGGCGATATCGAGGAACAAGAAACGGGATAAGCATCATTTCTCTGAGGTCTGTGCAAATTTCTTGACCCATCGCTGGACCCTGTGCCCTGGCGCGTGGAGCGCGCCAGGGGCAACGCCGGAGGCGCCGCCAAGGCCTCCAGCGCAAATTCCAAGAAACCTGCGCGGAGCTCGTCTCCTCTCGAGGCGGGCGACAATCAGATCCACGCGTGGTAACTTTTCATACTGGGCTTTTCCGCTCCGCTTCGGGCCCCAGGGCCCTCACAATTGGACCCGCTTTGCAATGTGGCGTTGAGCGATGTGGTCTAGGGCTGCAGTCACGATGTGTCACGATCTTTCAATTGTTCGCGACGTCGGATCTCAGGGAAGGAAGCGAAGCGAAGCGAAACGAAGCGAAGCGAACGCCGAAGTCGTGCGCGCTCCGCTAGAGAGCCCGCCCGTGTCCATCAGGGCCTGGCGTGGAAGCCGTGGCCTCAAAAGTATGCTGCGTGCCCGGACTCACGCGATGACCACCGTTCGTGGAAGACGCTGAGGCGGACGAGACGGGGGGACTATTAAGCAAAGGAAGTTGAGCGAATCAGATCGCGCAGCTGGCTTGCCTGGCGCCTCCCGGTGCCAGGGAGCCGCCAGTGTATCCAGGAAAGGCGCCTGGCGGCAGGGCCGCGCCCCCTCTCCCAGTCCGTAATCTTTTGTCCGAGGCCCGATCCTCTCGGACGCCGTCGCCCCCGACGTGCTGGTGCACCTCCATCTGCCCGAAGTACGCCTCCGGTAGAAGAAGCTGCAAAGCATAGACTTTCGGTGGTCCGTGTGGATTTCCATGGGCAACTATGTTCGCAGTTCGCGAAGCGAAAATAACGGGGGTGAAGAGAACAACGAGGATGAGGATGACGACTCGCGAATCGCGAAGAACGTCGCGTCCTTGTTGCGGCCCTTGATTTCTTGGGTCTGCGCAGGACGACACCCCTGGCGGCTCCTGGCGCACTCCGCACGTCAGGTAGGGGGGTCCAGCGCGGATCCAAGAAATCCGCACGGGCCTGCCAATGTTTACGCTTGTCTTGATTCAATACCTCCACATGAGTGGCTTCAAACTCGGCGGCCCGCGAAAAGGGGAAGGCAGAGGGGGCGGGCCTTCCCAGAAGGCTCAGAAGGCCTCCGGTCCTCTGACAAGCTTCTCTCTTTTTGGAAGACCCAAAAGTTTCTGAGAATCCATGCAGCAATCTGAGAAGGCGGGCCCCTTCTGCCTTCCCCTTCGGGCACACCGCCGGCAAGCAGTGTATGTTCAGATGAGAATCCACGCGAACCTACCAAAATGTATGATTATGCGGTCTTCTCTTCTCCGAGCCTCTCTGTCAACGTTCAGCTCCCAAAAGCGTCCCACGAGCGACCAACATCTGAATCCGCTACCGTGCCCTCCGTCACGTGTCTACTAGGGCGCCTCAAGACGCACACACAGACACACACACACACACACACACACACACACACGCACGCACGCACGCACGCACGCACGCACGCACGCACGCACGCACACACACACACACACACACACACACACACACACACACACACACACGCACACACACACACATACACACACTTACACTTCGCGAGAGGCGAGGCAAACTATGGGTTATCCACGGCCGCCCTACCGATGTGCTTCGAGGCCTCCCACATAGGGTCCGATCAGATTGGGTCTGAGGATCACGCCGCATTGCCGACGCATCGGCGACGGGCCACGTACCAGCGACGTCGTCGATGCATGGGAGCCGTCGGCGTGGAGAAAATGGGGCTCCACATCGACCCGCATCGCCAGTGCATCGGCGATGCGGCGCGATCCTCCGAACCGATCTACACTGACCCCATCAGGGAGACCAGAACGGCAAGAAACTGGGAAAAAATCAACCGACCCTACCAGCGTGTGTGGGGTGTCTGTCCGGTCCCGTCGACGGGGAGCCTTATTTCGTCCCCTCCTTCCCATCCCCCTCTCCCGTCGGGGGGGAGAGAGTGCACCCTTCCTCGTTCGGGGAACGGGTTCGCTGCTTGAGGTAATTCCATCTACGTCCTCATTACGTCAAAGGGAAGCCCCTTCCCTGTGTCCCTTCCCAGGCGAGGGGGGGTCCGAAGGGGGGGGGTCAAATTCGCATCGCCGGTCCTCCTCTCCCACGCCGGTCCTTCTCCGGCGCGTCCGTCCTCCTCGGGTCCTCCTCCGCGAGTGCGGAGGAGCACCATGGGTTGGGAGGGGAGTCAGATACGCATCCGTCCCTGGAGGTCCTCCTCCCCCTCCCCTCCCCTCCCCCCTCCCACGCCGGTCCTCCTCCGGTCCTCCTCCCCAAGGGGGGGGGCAAGGCGAGAGTCCTTTTCCTCCTCCTTCTCCTCCTCCTCCTCCTCCTTCTCTCCGCCTCCTCCTCCTCCTCCTCCTCCTCCTCCTCCTCCTCCTCCTCCTTCTCCTCCTCCTCCCCCTCCTGGTCGTCGTCGATGTCTTTCAGGGTCGGCGGCACCGGCCGTCAGGCCTTCACAGTCGCAGGACGCATCGGGCGCCGCGGCCGCGGCCGTTTCAGAGCGCTCCCCATACATGCCGTGTCTGGATTGTTATAATGCGGAGTTCCCAGTGAAGCACCTCGAGTGGGTGCTTCGCGATGGCCTGCGGGCCGAGGCTGGCAGCAGGGCAGATGCTGCCGCCCAGGCACCACACTCGCCCAGGCCGCCCAGATTAGCCCACAAGATGTGGGACGGGTGTAGACAGGCTTGAAGAACCACCGTTCAAAGCGAACACCCCGCGAAGAAGAAGCCCCCGAGTGAACGCGCCCAGGGAAGGAACCAAGGAAGGGCAGGACTGATGACCAAAAGCCCAAGACCGTCTCTCTCCATGGCTGGTTCCTTATCCCGAGCGAACTCTGTTGACGGTCCCGGTGCCCGGCGAGGGCCCCCAGGGGCCGAGCACGAACCCAAAGCCCTTCCGTCGTGATCACGATGCGAGCACGTCTGAGCCTGGAACGCTATGGCACGATTATCTCCAGGGTGTGCTGGAAGATGTCGCTTCATTTCGTCGGAATTTCATGTCGTTCGCCTTGGCTCAACATGTTCGATGCGTCCTGTTCGATTCGCCCGCTTCGACAGGCGGACGAAACGAAAGAGGACGAAACGAAGGAGGACGAAACGAAGGCGGGCGACACGAAAAAGGACGAAACGAGGGACGAAACAAAAGCGGACGAAACGAAGGAGGACGAAGCAAAGAAGGACGAAACGAAGGAGGACGAAACAAAGAAGGCCGTTTCGAAAGAGGACGAAACGCGGGCGGACGAAATGAAAATAATCGCGGACGCACTGACCCCTGGTCCATGAAGACCTGTGTCAGTCAGGCTTGGCAGGAACCTGCAAAATCCTACGAGATCCTGCACGCAAGCCTGGGTCACTGCACCCCCTGGCCCTGCAGGACCAAGATCCGGCGCTCTGGCTGCGATGGCTCAAGGGATGGGGTCCTGAGAGATGGAGACCAAAGGATGGAAAGGGATCCAAGGGTGGGCTTACGTTATCTGAGGCACCTCGTCCTTAGGACCCCATCCCTCAGGACCCCATCTTTGAAGCACCGATGGCTAACCCCCGTCGGCAGTGACCCCCGTCACTTGAGCCTTCGGTCGGGCATGTCCACCCACAGGTGGATTTTGGACGAAATAACAAATTCTCGAAAATTGTTTTAAAAATAACCCAAACTCGTCCAAACATCGTCCCAAAACTATTTTTCGACGATTTTTGAATACTTCTCCTGTAGAGGGACAGGCCCGACCTAACTTGAGCCCCAAGGTCCCCCGTGCTTTGGAGGTCGGAAAGTGGTGTGGCATAAAGGGGTATGGTGCCAATCGTGGAAATGGCGATGCTATCTGCGATCGGTAGCATTGCCAGATTCCCCTTTACATGAAATTAGCACCACACCCCTTTACACCATACCCCTTTCCTCTTTCCAGAATTGCTGGGGGCCCCCGGACCCCCAGAGGGCCCGGCTGGCGGGAAGGCCGGAGGCCGCCGAACAGGTATGCCTCCGCCTGCGCGTAGCCGGCGGCCAGGCGCTCGTCCAGGTCACCGGAGTAGCGCGGGAGCACCACCTCTTGGGACGCAGAGGGGCATACCAGCACTATACCCATCGGTCGGAAGAAGTAGGTGGAAACATGAAGTAGGAAGGCGTTGAAAATATATTGGATTCCGTCCGCCCCCTTGGGAGGACGGAAAAGGTGAATCCACTCGACCATTGAGGTAGGAAGGCGCTTAAAATAGATTGGGATATGAGAATCCAGAAGTACCTATTTTCAACGACCGATGGGTACGTGTCCTCCTCGGAGGCGTGCGTCCGATGTTTGTTTGGCCAGTGCAGCTCTGGAGGGCGAAGAGGGAGTGGAGCGGACAGCACCACGACACAGCACCTCCGCGAAGCGACCCTGAGCGCACTGCTACAAGAACATATCTTGAGATGGTGGCGCTTATGCGAAATGCTTCTTCTTCGAACTGTCCCCCCGATCCAGGCAGCCCCCCGGAACGCCTGATCGGACAGCGGGGCGTCGGACGTGGCCACGGACTCCCCCTCCTCCTCCATCCCTTTTCCTTACAGATAACCCATCCCTGTCGCATTGCGAGGCGTGTCGGTAGGGCGGGCCAGGCGTTTCGCCAGAGACTTCCTCACCATCCCTGATCCTTAACATGCAGAATTGCCAAGGATGGAGGGCAGCCCGTTTTCAAAACGTGGCTCTAGCCTTTGCGCCGCCACTATCGTCGAAAAAATATTCAAAAGTTTCACAGGGCGGGCCGTTTTCAAAATGAGGCTCTCGCCGTAGCGCCACGCACATTCGTCTTAACATTTTGCAACAACTTCCCGGATGGAGGGCGGACCGCTTTTTTTTATGCGCTGCGCACAGTCTTTCTAAGACTTTCAAGAGCCTCAGGGATGGACGGCGGGTTGTTTTCAAAATGTGGCTCCCGCCTGGGCGCTCGTTTAAAAATGTGCACAAGCTTCACGGGTAAAAGGCGGGCGACTTTCAAAATATGGTTCTCGCCTGAACGCCGCGCACAGTCGTCTTAAACATGTGCAACAGTTTCACGGATGAAAGGCGGGTGGCTTGCAAAATGGGGCTCTCGCTTGAGTTCCACGCACATTCTTCTGTGAAGGCTGCAACAGTTTCATGGATGTAAGGTGGCTCCTTTTTCCAACATGTGGTTCACGTCCTAGCGCCACGCACCATCAGTTGCATAACAGTTTCAAAGCGCTTCGTTCGCCTCCCTGAAATGGTGTTTCGGCAAGATGTCTGAGTGCCAGCGCGCAACAGTTTCTTAGATTCGCGGTGTTGACGTCCCAGGATTGGTTTTCTGGCACGATTCAGGATCGTCAGGACGCAACAATGACGGTGATTCGCGGCGTTGAAATCCCAAGAATGGCGTCATGGCGCAATTCAGGACTTTCAAGCGGCTGTTTTCCAACGGGGCACTTCAGTCAGCTGTAATGAACCATGTAGGGCCCTATGAAAAATTGATTTTGGACGGCAGGTCTATTGCAATATCATTGATGAGTTTTGGGTTTCTAATGGTCCTCCTCCTCCATTCCTTCTCTTCATGACTAACTCCTCCCTGTCGCACCCGTAGGCTGGTCGCAAGGGCGGGCCAAGTGTTGCGCTGGAGATTTCATCACGATTTATGACCCTGAAGCTTGACATCTGCAGCACTTTCACGGATGGAGGGCGGGCCTTCGCCATAAAACTCTCGAGGGTCTCACGGAAGGAAAGCCGGTCGATTGCAAAATGTGGTTCTCCAGTTAGCGCCGCGAATATTCGTCTTTAAATAACGCAACCGCTTCACGGATGGATGCTTGTCCCTTTTCACCATGAGGCTCTCGCCTCAGCGTCGCGCGCATTCGTTTTAAGAGCTTTACACGAGTACTCTGGCAGGGTGTCGGACCGTCAGGGCGCAACATGCACGCTGAGCCGTGGTGCTGAAATCCCCACAAATGGTTCTCTGGCAAGGTCAAAATGGTCACAACACAATCGTAACGGTGAGTCGCGGTATTGTCATTCAAGGAAAAACGATCTGGCACAGTTACGGATTTTCAAACGGTCGGCTACCAACAGAGCACTTCCCCCCGTGATACTGAATCCTTTTGGGGCCTGTGAAAAAGGGAACTTGGAGGGAGGGTTTATTAACATGTCGTTGATGCGTCTTGGGTTTACACTGGCCCCCCCTTCGCCTCGAGGAGAAGGAGGGGCATGAGAGAGGAGGAAGGGGAGGAGGAGGAGGAGGAGGAGGAGGATGATGCCCGCGGGGTGAGGCGGACCGCGTCGAGCCACGGCCACCCCTGCGAGGCGCGCGCCCCACGCGCGCCCGCGCCTCGGCGCAGCTACGCACCCGAGGCTGTCGGCTAGGCCTCACCCCGCGCGGCCCGCAGCAGCCTCGCCACCTTGGCTGCCAAGCCTGGCGAGCTGCTGCGCTCCCGCGCGCCACGCCGCGGCCTCGGCCAGCCGCCTCCGCCGCCCGCAGCCCCTGCTTCGCTTCGAGCAGCAGAGTCACCTGCGGGCGGCATCCTCTCCTCCTGCAGCCCGCTCTCCATGGCCACGTGGTCGCCGCCCGCAGCCCCTGCTTCGCTTCGAGCAGCAGGTTCCCCTGCGGGCGGCTGGACCTCCTCCTGCGGCCTGACCTCTGTGGCCTCGCGCGGCTGTGACGGTCCGCCGCCACTGCCACCTGCAACCACCTCGTCTCCTGCCTGTGCAGGGCCCGCCACAGGCCGCTGCCATTCGTCCTGCTGCTTGGCCACCTTGGCCACACGCCTCGGCGACCGCGAGGGCGCCGTCAGCTCGGCCAGCCTCGGTGAGCTGCTGCGCACTCGCGCACGGCGCCGCGCGCCTGGCCCTCCGCCGCCGCCCGCAGCCCCTGCCTCTCCTCGTGCCGCGGCGTGGCGCACCGCGGCTGTACGCCTGCCGCCGGCTCGCCCGCTCGGGCCAGCCGCTGCGCTGTAGTCCTCCGCTTCGTCCGCCAGCACCTGGACTCCGCTGGCCACGCGTGGCTGGGGCGGTCCGCCGCCGCTGCCACCTGCAGCCACCTCGTCTCCTCTCTCGGCAGGGCCCGTCTCAGGCCGCTGGCTGCCCTCCTGCCGCCTGGCTACCTCGGCCGCCGTCCTCAGCGCCAGCGAGGACGGCGTCGGAGCGTCCTGCCTCGGCGAGCTGCTGCGCACACCCGCGCGGCGCCGCGGGCCTGGCCCGCCGCCGCCGCCTGCAGGCCCTGCCTCTCCTCCTGCGGCCTCCTGGCGCGTTGCGGCTGCACGCCCTCCGTCAGCTCGCCCTCTCGGGCCAGCCGCACTGCGGTAGCCCCCGTGGGTCAGGGGACGCAGCAAGCCCGCGTCCTCACCGCCACCTGGAGCTCCTTCTGGCTTGCGCAAGGCGTGGCCGTCCTCCTCCCCCGCGACGTCCTGCGGCGACTGGCCTCTCACCTCCTGCGCGTCGTCCGCCATCGTCGGCGGGGGCGGACCGCCGCCGCTGCCACCTGTGGCCACCTCGTCTCCTCCCTCTGCAGGTCCCGCCTCACGCTGGGGCCTGCTGTGGTCTAACCCCTCACCGCGCGGGGGACCGCCGAGTCTCGCACTGTCCGCATCCACAATGCTGCTGCCCACTGGCACGGGCATGGTCCCTCGCCTATGCCACTCTCTGTGTTCGCGGTTCACGTGGTATCCGCGGGCCAAGCCCTCCCCCTCGCGTTCAGTCTGACGGTTTCCCAGGGTATGGGTCCGCTCTGTTAGTTGCGAGGTCCTGTCTACCACACTGTTGGTCAAAAGATCCGCGTCATGCTCACTGGGCTCGTCAGGGACCTCAGCTCGTCCTCTCAGGCCAGCCGCCGCTCTGGAGCCCTCAGGGGTCAGGGGACGCAGCGAGCCCGCATCCTCCCCTGCCCCACCACCTGGAGCTCCTCCTGGCGGCCTCAAGGAGTGGCCGTCCTCCTCTTCCGCGATGTCCCGCGGCGACTGCCCTCTCCCCTCCTGCACGTCGTCCGCCAGCACCGTGGTGTTGACTGCCACCTCACTGACCACCTTCGGAGCCAGCCCCTTCCTCAGTCTCGCGACTGCGGCGGCACCTGCAGCCGACGGGACACTCCTGCACTCGAGGTGGAAGGAGCTCGCTCTGGCCGCGCCTGTGAAGCCGCACGCCCTGCAAGCGACCAGCGGCATCCTGCGCACCAGCATCCTCCAATCCACAGGCGCAAGGAGCACCAGGTCGTGCGACGCCCTCTGCTGCGCCTTCAGCCTGTTGTTGGCCCTGATCGCCTCGGCGACGATGCTGCCAGGGCACTCACCTGATCTGCCTGACCATCTGCAGACCTCGCACCAGGGACGCTGGCCAGGCAGCCTCCGCCAGACGCAGGCCATCCTCGCCGCTGGCTCCTTGCGCACTGGCAGGGCTCGCCGCACCTTCGTCTTGCCGTGCGTGGTGTCGCTGCCGTCGACCCAGCTGCCGACAGCCGCGCACCACATGGCTGCTCGTTCAACCACGTCACGGCTCCTCTCCAGGCGCTCTCTGTCCCTCGCGGGGAGGCGCCCGCTGGCCGCCGCAGCCTTTGCCGCCCTGTCAGCCAGTCGGTTGCCGTACCAATCTCTGTACAGCACTTCGCCTGCCGCCACCTGCCGCCGCGTACTGTGGCTGGGCATCCACCTGAGGCTGACCTCTTGCCCGAGACCTCCTCGCTCGTCCAGCAGGTCCCAAGCTCGCCTCCACAGGTGCGCCCACGTGTACGCGTAGCCCGTGGTGCCAACCCTGCCGACCTTGTAGAAGCCGTCGTAGACGTACTTGGAGTCGACCACCAGCACCGTGATCCCTTGGCCAAACCTGAGCGCCATGATCACCGCCGTGAGCTCCCCGCCGTTGATGTCCACGCAGTGGCCCTCCATCTGGCCAGCGATGGAGGCCTTGTAGCCGTCGCTGTGCGCCTGCAGCGCCACCACACTCCAGCCCACTGCCGCCACCTCCTCGTAGTCCGCCTCGAACGCCGAGCCGTCGAGAAACAGCTCGCCTTCAGGAAGGGTGCCTCCTTCATGGTCGCCCTTCCAGCACACGTCGCTGCACACTGGCGGGCGGCGGAT